AGAAAGGTGGTTACCAGAGACTGGAGATAGGGAGATAGGGAGGGGGGGCCAATGAATGCAGTCATACAGTTAGAGAGAAGGAATGAATACTTCTGATGCTCTATTGCATAGTAGGGCAATAGTTATCAAGAATCTTTTGTATATTTCAAAATAGCTAAAAGAGATGTTGAATGTTCTCACCACAAGAAAGAAAGATAAATGTTTAAGGTAATGAATATTCTAATTACTCTGATTTGATCTTTATACATATACCAAAACATCACTTTGTACTCGATAATGTACAATGAGTATGTATCGATCAAAAGTAAAATAAAACTTGAAAGTACAACTTCTTTATAACAGCAGAGAAAAGTTTATATTACAAATAATTTTTAAATTTAAACGTAAGTGCAAAAATGTTAAAACAGGTATTTCAAAAGAAGAATAGCAAATAAGTATATAGGATAATGCAAAGTATATAATTGTTTTATTTTTGTCATATGTAAATATTTAAACAAACAAGTATATGAAAGATGTTCAGCATCGTTAATCGTTTGAGAAATGTTAATTTAAACCACAATGAGATTTACTACATACATCCTAGAATGGCATGATTTGAAAAATAAAAACCATACCAAGTGCTGGGAAGGATGTGAAACCCTCACATATTGCAAGTGGCAATGTCAAATGGCACAGCCTCTTTGCAAAACAATTTGGTATTTTCTTATAAGTTCAATGTACACTTACACTAAAAACATGTATGTTCCCCATAAGTATTTGTACATGAATGTTCATAATAGTTTTATTCAGATGGAGAAAAATGGGAAATAATGGAAGTTGTTGAATTGCTAAAGAGTGGAATTCCACTCAAAGTAGAAGGTACCAAAAAAGTATACATGTTTTAAGGAAGAAAAAAAAACTGGATTAAAATTTCAATACTCAAGTCATAAGTCATGTTTGACTTCTGAAATTACAAGAGATACAAGATACAACATAGAAGATAACAAATGTTATTGATATATATTGAGTGTTACAATTTTAATACAGTTCCTTTCTTAAAATGTATAAACATTTATGGGGCATCCTCTATAGAATGCTGATAAATACAAAAATACAAATAGATCTCAAAACATCATTATATAAGATTATATACTATAGTTTTCCAATTTTATAAAAATTTTTAAAGGCAAAACTATAGTAAGAAAAATCCAGTACATGATTTCCTGGGGGCCAGGAATGGGGAGGGGATTAATTGCAAAGGGGCTAAATATATTGGAGAGGGGGATAGAGGCTGGAAATATTCTATTATCTTGATTTGATTATAATAATGGTTACACAACTGTGTGCATGTGTCAAGTCATCAACTTGTATGCTTAAAAATAGGTATACTTTGTATACACAGTGAAAAAAAAAAAAACCTCACAAAAAGGAATAACATGGGCCTTACAGTTAAAGAATCTCATCAATGTTTAGGACCAATTTAGAGGTGACTTTGAAAAATTATAGAAAGAGAGACATTAAATGAAGCCACATGTGTTCAGATTTTTAGTCTTTGCTGACTCAAATCATCAGGATATTTAAAAACCTGAATGCAAATCAGATTCCCACTTTTGCAATCTTGTAGAAGCGGGAAATTAGAGAAAATGATTTTGCTATCTAGTAAGGGATAAGAGAACTTGGAAAGTCCAAGGAATTGTTAATACACTATAACCTACGACACTAATTTTAGTACTAGAAAAAAACAGTAGCCATCACAGGATCAATTTGCAAACAATGAAGCGAATAAAATTGCAGAGGCTTGGCTTTGCAAACAAGGATTCGGCCAGACCACTTTAGCCCCTGTAGTTACTAAATGGCGGGCCTGGTAGTTTAACCAGAAGCCATAAATGTAATGTATCTTGGCTGGAGTCAGATATTTTGATTTACTCAAATATGAAACCGTCATCACTAAAATTGGAAAATATTGTCTATGGTAGCAGATGGAGTCCTAGCTGAGAAGTGACATCTGAATTGTCCTGGCCCGATGTGGAAAACAGAAGGAAAGTAAAAGGGTATCAGACAGGAATGATAGTCTGAATGGTGGGTGGTGAACGTGCACTGTGTGTGAGGCATTAAGAGGTCTGTGTGAGGAGACCCTGGTGTGCACAGTGTGTGGGGGAGGGGGGGCGGTGAGAGAGGGAGGGCCAGAATACCAAGGACCTTGTAAAGTCCTTAATAAACCTAGTCCCAGAGCAGGACCTTATTGTCACATTCCCCAGAGCCATAACAGAAGTATTGACAGACATCTAAACTGGTGCAGGAGTCCAGATCAGCGTCCTCCCAGCCCAGAGTTTTTCCAACTCTGTCTCTTGCTGCCTCTCCCTACAATTAAATGAGAAAAGATTAGATTGAGAAATAACTAAAATGAAATTGTTGATTTCCAGTAGGCCGCTTTTAATCTCCATTGAAATGTTAGGAAAGATTGCATACATTTTAACTGGCTTCAGAAAAGAGCCATAATATTGGAAATTAGAAAAATGTAAAAGAATAAAAATTCGCAGAGCTGACTTAAGAAAACACAGAGAGAGATGAGAAACTGCTGGTCCCTTTTGAGGACAGACTCGGATGCTGGTTGCTAAGCATCTGATTCTGTGTAACTTCAGCTAGACCTTTCTGTGCCTTGATTTTCTTATGTATAAACTATGGACTATCATACAGGTGCTTTTCCTGTTATCTGCAATTCAAAGAGCTCTAAAAACCACCAGTGCGTATGGTTTTGTTTTGATTTTGTAAATTTGTGGGATCCTCATTGGGAAGTAAAACCCAGCCTCAGCTAGGAGGCTTCGTGGTCATTTGCCAAGTCAGTGTGGCAAGTTGTGAATTCCACAGAAGTGCTGATGTGTGATGGTGGGGTGCTCCCCTAAGTCCTGCTAGAAAGGTTTATAACGTATGCTATATGAACCTTACTCTCTTTCAAAAATCTAAACCGTTCCGGATTCTGAAGCTTCTGGCCCCAGGGGTTTCAGATAAGAGATTGTGTACCTGTAATGCTTCCTCACAGGCCTGTGGGAGGATTAAGTTATCTTACAAAAGAATCCAGTGAATGATGAAGCTGTTATTATTTATCATTATTTAAACTCAGAAATGAGATTCCCCACTCCCCGTCTATGAGAATAAATGGCGTTCAGTACTTGATGGTACTTAACCTTATTCTTACTAGTTTATGCTGTAGTCTGACAAGCTTGATTTATAGTGTATCAATTATTGAAATGGAATGCTTCTCTTAAGAAACTGTGAACATTTAACCCTTCATTTTTTCAACTTGATGTACTTGGCAGGATGCCTGATTTGCCGTCAGGGGTTAGCTGACAGGCTCGTTTTTCAGTCATTTTTTCCTGGGGTTCATCTTACGAGATCCCTGTTTGGATTCTGTGTAACGCATGGAGTACCTCCTAACAGAAACACAAACGCATATGCTTATTTTCTGGGAGTTCTTGATAAAAATGAGTTCTTAGTATGTTCTCAAATAATGTTTGTGAAGTCATTGGTTAAAAAACTCAAGAGCAAAAATACCCCTGTAGCGCTTCTTCGGCGTTTCCCAAGTAAAATTTTATTTTTGTGGTAGAAGCTTGGCATGAGTCCTGTTTTTTCAAGCTGTGTAAAACCCTTTTGCTGTGTTTAATCCATGTGGCCTGCAGGCACGGAGGACTGATTTTGCAATATTCTTCTGGCATTGAGAAATTTTTAACTAAAAATTTCATATAGTGACATACTTAGGAGAAAGGAAAAAAAATTCTTTAAAGAAATCTATTTCAAAAGGAAGAGGAAAGCCATCATTTTTAATTGCAGCTTTCGGTGAGGTATTTACTTTTAGTGACAATTGCGGGGGGCACCCAGTAACGACTGTTCGCTGCTCTGGCTCCCCCGAGTCTTTGCCCTGGGAGAGTATATTGCTGCCAACTTCTGATTGCAACCTGTGTGTGTTTACCTTTTGTTTGGATAAGTGTTACCAGGGGCCCCGTTCTTGGCCAGCAGTTCCAATGCTTGGGTGGTTTTAGCCTCAGCATCTGAGCAAGTAGAAATGAACTGATGGTGTGTTGACCCCGAGAAGAGGGTCGTAAGAATGGAGACTTGGCTTTCTTTTCAGAGGTGGGGGTGGGGGAGCAACATAGGATAGGCCTTTTTTTCCTGGTTGGTACTAGACCTCATGCTTTCTCTACCTTATTTTGCCGACTCTCCAACCAACTAACCACCACTGAACTTCCTCTCCCTAAAGAAGGGAGGGGGGAGGTTTCACTCACTTGTGAGGGAAAAGACGTGCATCTGGGTTCTCTTTTTTGCCACAGTTAGCTGTGTTACATTAAGCCAGGCATTTGGGGTAGTGCAGGATTTGAAAGGCTGTTCCAGCTCCTGCCTTCCCTTACACTTTGACATTATAAGATAAGTGCAATAGTTTGGGAGAGCTCGTTTTCCTAGTTCTCAAGCTGGTTAGCCTCAGGTTAAATCTCTGTACTCTCTGGTAGATATTCCATCTTAATACAATATTCTGTGAACCCTAATTTCTATGAGTTGCTCTAGAGTATTTTAAGGCCTGGCTTTAATTATAATCTGCAAAACAGAAAGCTATCTTTATGAGTCATTCTTTAAGATCACTCAACACATGAAAACACTATTTTTATATTTCATTTCTGGTTATCTCTGAAGCTACTCCTGGTATTAATCATTTAAACCCCCTCCGAGCCTCAGTTTCTTCATTCTACAGAGAAGTAAAAAGACGTAAAAGCACAAATGTACTTTGATAAATATAAAACCTTTTGTAAAACATAGGATTTTATGTCAAATAGCAAAAAAGGTTATTAATTTAACTAGTGAAAATGACTCCCTTTAGTAAGACTGCCAGATGTCATGTATTGGTAACCTATGGCAAACAAGTAGCTGTAAAGACTAATAAAATGTATCATTGCCCTGCTCTGGTTCAGAATGTAATAATATCTCCTGCTGGTTCTCTCCTTCCCTCTGCCACTGTCCCCATCTCTAAGCAGTATTCTACCGAGCTGAAGAAGCTGTACTGCCAGATTGCAAAGACATGCCCCATCCAGATCAAAGTGATGACGCCACCGCCACAGGGCGCGGTCATTCGCGCGATGCCTGTCTACAAGAAGGCTGAGCACGTCACTGAGGTGGTCAAACGGTGCCCCAACCATGAGCTGAGCCGGGAATTCAACGAGGGTAAGGAAACTTGGAGTCCATAACTGTTCAATTAAGTTCCCTGAAGGTATTTTTGTTTGGTTCCTACCTACCAGACTTTGATCAGATGGTAGCTCGGCCTGCCTTTCTGGCTGACAAAGTATCCAGAAATAATGATAAGTAAATTTGTGACTTTCACAGTGGTGGAACTATTTAATTTAACGTTAGAGATTACTAGATGACCTGGGCTGCCCAGACTCTCTACTCCCTCGTGGGGGGTGGGGGGTGGGCTTACAGCCTGACGGTCACATGTAACTCTCCAGACCCTCCAAGTGCAGCCCCCCAAACAATGTAAACTTCACAGATGAAATCTAGGTTCTGTAAAATTTGGATTCTGTCAAAAGGCTGTACTTAAGGATCCAGATAGCTACATGTGACCCTAAGACTGAAGGGTCCCAAAAGACTAGGAGTGAGGGGGGCAGGTGTCTTGGGAACTGCCTTTAAGCTCTAGTTCATGAATGAGCCATATCCCAACTTCTGAGCCTCTGATCCAACTACTTTGAAGAAGGGATCACTGTTTCCAGGTGTTCCCTTAAATCTGTTATAATGGTGCCATGAAAGGAGACTAACTAGAAAATACTCAAAAGTGGAAAGAAGGAATATGAAAAAGCATAAGGAATCATCTAAGAGTTATTAGAAAGACAGAGGGCTGGAAATTAAGAGACTTTATAGAAAAAATACTAAAAATATAGAGACTAGTAAATAAAATGCAAAAGTGTAGAGAATATAATGGAGAAAAAATTACTGAAGGAAGAAAGAGAATAGATGAAAATTGTAAAGTAGGAAACAAAGTCAAAATCTTCTTAACCCAATGATTTTTACACACTAATTCCTAGTCCCTGTCTATAAGACCACATCATCCATCGCTCTCTGTCTTGCTTATGACTTATATACACTATATAGAACAATATACTGTAAAGAAGATCCGATATAGACAGGCTTTGTATCAATGCACATTGACTGCCTGTGCTCCATTATGGTGATATACTGTTTTTAAACTGTTTTCTCATTTTTTAATTAATAGTTGTTTTTTAGTCTTTTTTTTTTTTTTTTGAGATAAGAGTCTCACTGTGCTGCCCCTGGTAGAGAGCCGTGTTGTCACAGCTCACAGCAACCTCAAACTCTTGGGCTTAGGTGATTCTTTTGCCTCAGCCTCCCAAATAGCTGGGACTACAGGTGCCCGCCACAATGCCCAGCTATTTTTTGGTTGCAGTTGTCATTGTTCTTTAGCTGGCCCAGGCTGGTCCGAACCTGCCAACCTTGGTGCATGTGGCTGGCGCCGTAACCACTGTGCTCCGGGCTCTGAGCCAGTTTGTTTTTAGTCTTAACATGCTGTAATAGATGATGCCACAGAGCACATCATGGCAAATTTAGCTTTTTACTTTTATTAAATATTTTTGTGGAACGCACATGGCCTAAGGTTAAGAACAACTGTATGAGTCCCAATTCTTAGAGCATCTTTTTAATTTTGTCATCTCCACTAAGTATCACAATTCTGTCAGACTTAACTAAGTTCTTTTTAAACCTACTTCCCTGTGCTCTACCTGAGACTCCTTCAGCAAAGTAAAGCCAGTAGATTTCTTATCTTTATGACCAAAGCAAGGTTTGAAAATGGAGAAGGAGAAGAGAATAGGCCAGTGAAAGGCATGTCCTTGCCATCTTCTGCTTCTCATTTAATATCTTTGTTGGTCAAACTTTTAGGCAACATGGTAACAGTCAAACTGATTTTTTTTCAACTTGCTCCTTTTCCTTCAATTTTCCATGGAAGTTATCAAAATGCTCTCCATGAATGAGTCAAAAATGTAGTTACAGGGTTGTATCAAGGCTCGACTTGTTGACCTTAAACTGCAAAGCACAGGACTGGTCTCTTAAGTGCAGTGGGTCTGAGCAATCCAGCCCTTTCGGTTGCTGTAAATGTCAGGACATCTTCATGTACTAGATACCTGGCGTCCAGATCTGTCCCTTCATACAAGGGTGTATGTATTTGCTGTAGCACGTGGACCATTTCTTTGGCCACCAGCATTCTGTGTGTGAAGTTTCATTTTTTTCTTTTTATTTTGAAGGTAAGGGACTATGTTGGTTTTTTTCTCTTCTACTCTGCAGGACAGATTGCCCCTCCTAGTCATTTGATCCGCGTAGAAGGGAACAGCCATGCCCAGTACGTAGAAGACCCCATCACGGGAAGACAGAGTGTGCTGGTGCCTTATGAGCCACCCCAGGTAAAAATAAATACATGAAATCATATATATAAGTGTGTGTGTGTATATAGGAACACAGTATATAGGGTATACGCACACACACATGCATATATGTGGCCTAGGCAGACTTGAGAGGGCATTGGTTGCAGCAATAGGAAGTGTTTCTAGCATCTATCAGTGTCTTAGTCCCTTGTCATTAAATATGTAACCTTTTTAATATTTATTTTCCCCTATTCTCCACATGCTGTTCCTTTAAATCTCCTAACTATGGCTGGGCACTGTGGCTCATGCCTGTACTCCTAGCACTCTGGGAGGCTGGGGTGGGTGAAATCTCCTGGGCTCAGGAGTTTGAGACTAGCCTGAGCAAGAACGAGACCCAGACTCTACTAAAAATAGAAAAAAACTATCTGGGTGTTGTGGGAGCCTGTAGTCCCAGCTACTTAGGAGGCTGAGGTGGGAGGATCACCTGAGTCCAAGAGTTTGAGGTTGCTATGAGCCATGACACCAAGGTACTCTACACAGGGTGACCAAATAAGACGCTGTCTCAAAAAATAATAATGGTAAATAAATAAATCCTAAATCTTTTAGGGTTTTTAAAAAAATCCTACATGTGCACTGAATTAACATGGTAACACAGCCCTGTGCCCATGTTCCCATCTTAAGGGCACATATAAATTGAACTGGCAGTTGGACTTATCCTTGGCCTCATTTTATCCAACTGGCAGTGGTACTGCTGATGGCTAAGCAGCACTAACAGGTATGAATGTTCTTACCCTGGTCAGCATGTGAGATAGCCTGAGAGGAAGCGCTTAATGTTCGAGGGGACAGATGGCAGATCTGTAAATCTGCTGTGTAAAGCAGAGTCTGTGTTCTGTGCAGAAGCCAGGTTCTCCGGTTCGCTGTGTTACCACCAGGTCTTTGGCATGCAATGGTCAGGATCTGTGCTTCAGTTGCCTTGCCTATTAAATGTCTGACCTTTGGACTCGACCATTTAATGCTGAGAACATTTTGAGCTCCACAGTGTTGTTAATGGAATTGTATATTCAAACGTGTGGCATAGAGTTTTATCCACATAAAGAAAATATTCTGGGAGCATGGCTGCCATTGGGTCCCCTTTCCTAGCTTTCTCTCTGAGTGACACTCATGTATGTGGTATAGTGTCTTTGACTTGGGAGATGTGGATCAGCTTGTCAATGAGCAGGATTAAGGCTCAGTGACCCCCTGTCCTACCCAACAAAGGTTCCAGTGTTGAAAACATTAGTTTTAAGCTTCCCAGGAGGCAAGGCAAAGAAAAATCTATAATAAGTTTCAAAGTTTACCTCCTTAGAAGGAAGCATATCACTTCACAAGTGGAATTCTTTAAACAGAGGGAAGACTTGAAAAGGAAGTGAAGTTCAAGCCATTGTTAATGCAATTTTTTCCCCCTGTGTTCAGGTTGGCACTGAATTCACGACAGTCTTGTACAATTTCATGTGTAACAGCAGTTGTGTTGGAGGGATGAACCGCCGTCCAATTTTAATCATTGTTACTCTGGAAACCAGAGAGTAAGTGGCATATGTGGAACTGTCATTCTTTAAAACGTCACGGGCAAAGAGAGGGCAAAGCGAAATTGTGTCTTGCTGCTTTACCGTTAACTTTGCTTGTATAGCAGAGCGTCACCCTCGGTTTTCTCCTTTGTACTTTAAATCCCTGCTGCAAACACTTACATAAAAGATCTAAGAAAGTGGAGACAGGAGAGGGTGGGTAAAAGGAGAGAGGAAAAAAAGAGCCGGGGACGTGTGCAAGTCATTTCATACCTGGATTCTTGACATTTGACTGGAATTGTTTCTGATTAGACAGAGTTTGTTTTCATGTGGCCCCCACGGCATTTGACAGTTGCTTTGAGTGAGTCTGGGCTGCCTAAGGGGATTTTATTCTGACACCTCCACTGGCTTAACTCAAGTTTCCTTCAAAATATGTAGCTAAATACAACTGTTCAGCTAATGGCTTGGAAGTTCTTTGCAGAACAAATGGCGTGGTGTTTACCAGCATTGCTCGTGGCCTGTAAGCAGGCCTGTGCTCTGCCAAGTACTTTTAGGTGTATCCTTAAAGCAGCCGAGGCTGAGCTGGTGGTGCTGGTGGTGCCCTGGTGATGGTCAATATTGGAGGTGGAAAAGGGAGAACTCCAGGAGACCTTTAAAATTCTTTGGATTTAATCTTTCGTTCCCCTTTATTCTAATTCCTAGTGGGCAAGTCCTGGGCCGACGCTGCTTTGAGGCCCGGATCTGTGCTTGCCCAGGAAGAGACAGGAAGGCAGATGAAGACAGCATCAGAAAGCAGCAAGTTTCGGACAGCACAAAGAACGGTGATGGTACGAAGCGCCGTAAGTAGATGTAGTGGCCAAATGGGGTAGGGTTGGGTCCCTTCCACATGTTGGGGGAGAGGTTGGCCCTGGAGAATCTGCATGCTAAGACCCGTGAGCTTTAGCAGAAAGTGTGACAAGATGCTCTGGAGCCCGTGGCATTAGGTACAGCATTGACATGGACTCCAGGCATGTAATACAGCCTTACAGAAGCAAATAATCACTGTGAGATTTCTTAGTGCAGCAGTCCTCAAAACATGACCTCCACGTAGAAACTGGGCAGAAATGCAACTTCTTAGGCCCCAGATTTGCTGTATCAGAAGCTTTGTATGTGGGACACAGTAGTCTGTGTTTAGTAAGCCCTCCATGTGATTCCAGCTGAAATACAAAAACTAGTATCTTAGCTTGTTGATATCAGTTTGTCTTTCATTATTAAGCATTACAGCTGAAAATAGCCTCTGCTCATCTCATGACTCTGAGAGCAGCAAGATTTGGGCTGTGTTTCATCAAACACGGTCTGCAGACTGTGCAGATCTGGGTTTCATGGAGTTTTGACTTTACATGGACAACCTTCTTGGGGTGTCAGTGACATCATTGATTGTTTTCAAACTTGTATTTTGAATCAGTGAAAGCTTTTTAGAAATGAAATATTTCAAGGAACCTACACTGCAAAGTAAAGCCGAGCCGCTCCAAATGAAGAGAGTGGCAGTTGGGGGTCTGTAGGTCTGTGTTGAACCTTCAGCCACTCCTTGCTGCTAACTTTCACCTGCACTGGGTTCCACTTACCAAGTCACCTATGCTTCTTATAGCACAATTTAATTCTAAAAGATACTTTGCATAAGCCTGATATCACTACAACAATGGTTTAAAGTACACCACATGATGACCTACTTTATGGAGAAGGGTTTAATCATTGGTTACTATTCATAAGAAATAAAAATTATATTACACTTTAAGGGAGAACCCATCACCATCAACTTTAACCGTTCAGTGGGATAAGCTTTTGCAGTGAGGCTTTCTCTCTCTGATCATTCCTCAAAAATTCATATCCTAAATATTTTGGAGGTGGGTGGATTGCCTGAGCTCACAGGTTGGAGACCAGCCTGAGCCAGAGCAAGACCTTATCTCAAAAAATAGCCAGGTGTTGTGGCTGGCACCTGTAGTCCCAGCTGCTCAGGAGGCGGAGGCAAGAGAAATGCTTGACCTCAGGAGTTTGAGGTTGCTGTGAGTTCAACTCACACTAATACATATGTGTGCTAACATGTATCCACTAGTGTATAGTATTAGTAAATATTACTAATATTCAATTATTGAACATTGTCTGAGATATTTAGTGTGTTTAATATGTATAATTTCTTCATAAATGTTCCTAGAATGAAACTTACATTTTTCGTCCAACCAGTTTGAGGTTGCTCTAAGCTGTGATGCCATGGCACTCTACCGAGGGTGACAAAATGAGATTCTGTCTCAAAAAAAATAAAAAAAATGTATGCATGCACATACATATATTTATATCTGTTCACATTTTACTCTTGAGTCTGACTGGTAGTGTAATTCCTAAACTCATTTCCTAAATACACCAGTTACCTACAAATTAATGATTTTCAGTTAAACCGATAACTGGTGTTTTAGTAGAAAGTTCATCTCCATAGCTATATGCTGAATGTAGTTTCTAATTTGAGAAACTTTAGGAATTTGTCACTCATTAATTCACTAATTTTACCATTGGCAAGGCAACTTCTGTATCTTGCATTAATTCCTTGGAGGAAGAATGATCTGGAACATAATGAAAAAGAATTTCTGTCTTTTATTATGGCTGTTCACAGACACGCGACAGTGAGACATAGGGTTTCCTGCAGTCTTACCAAAGCCCAGGGCCACTTCCCAGCATCCTGAATTTCTTCCTTTCGTTTGTACTTTCTCCTCTTCCCCTACCTCTTTATTGCTAAGATTACACTCAGTGGGAAATCAGTAGTCACAGTGAAATGCATGCTTAGACTAGAATCTCTAATCTTAAAGGTGTGGCTGGTGATACTGTCTGTTGAATAGATATTAGCAAATCTTACTGATATTCAATTATTGAACATTGTCTGAGATATTTAGTATGTTTAACATGTATACTTTCTTCATAAATGTTCCTGGAATGAAACTTACGTTTTCCCTCCACCAGCTTTTCGCCAGAACACACATGGCATCCAGATGACATCCATCAAGAAGCGGAGATCCCCAGATGATGAACTGTTATACTTACCAGTGAGTCTCTCTTGGGTGGTCATGATCACTGCATTTTAACCTTCTTTAAATGATCTTTTGCTCTGTGCTCATCTCCCAGTTATCTGTGGCAACACAAAAAGAGATGCCGTCATCTAGGCTACTGCAATGAAATGTCATAGACTGTCTTATAAACAATAGAAATTTACTTTGTCATGGTTTTAGAAGCTGGAAGTCTGAGATTAAAGTGCCTGCCTACTTGGGTTCAGGTGGGGGCCGTCTTCTAACTTGCCAACTGCCATCTTTCCTCTAGCAGAAGGGACTACAGACGTCTCTAGCATCTTTTTAAAATAAGGCCAGTAATCCCTTTCATGAGAACTCTACCATCATGACTTAGATTACCTCTCAAGGGCCCCACTTCCTATTTGCATCATGGTGGGGATTAGAATTTCAACATATGAATGTTGGAGGGACGCAAATGTTCAGTCCATATGGTTTGGAAGAGGGGAGTAGTATTATACAACAGAGATAATATATGTTTTAAACATTTAGGAAATTATCTTTTCTCACCACAGTTCTGGAATATATTAATAGCATGAGCTTCTATACTTATGTACCTACCCAGTTGAAGCCACCCTCCTAAAGAATTATGTGTACCCACATATATAAAATTAACTTTTACTTCATTATTTGAGAATGTTAATATTATCCTAGGCAGCATGGCCATGCCAGTTTAGCCTAAAATTTTATCAGAAATGTTCACAAAGTTGATAATACAGCAATTACACAGTTGACTGTGATTTAACATAGGAAGCTCTATATGGAGAGTCAAGCCAGGCAGAATCCTGTTGACTTGAGGCCTTAGAGCCAGTGGGATTAGGTACAGCATTGACATGGACTCCAGGCATGTAATATAGCCTTATATAAGCAAATAATCACTATGAGATTTCTTAGTACAGCAGTCCTGACAATGTGGTTTCCACATAGAAACTGGGCAAAAATGCAACTTCTCAGGCCCCAGATTTGCTGTATCAGAAACTTTGTATGTGGGACACAGTAGTCTGTGGGCTCCACTGTGGTAGATTCAACCAACCACTGAATAAAAATCCTTGGGAAAAAAATGAATAGTAATAATACAAGATGTTATTTTAAAGAACAATACAGTGATAAATAATACAATAAAAAATAATACAAATATAACATCTACATTGTATTAGGTGTAAGTAATTTTAAAGTATACAGAGGATGCACCTGTGTTATATGCAAATGTGACACCATTTTATAAGGGATTTGAGTACTTGAGAACTTGAGAATTTTAATATGTTGGGGGCATGGTAGGGAAGGTTCCTGGAATCAGTCCTGTGCAGATATCAAAGGATGACTGTGAATGTGAATGCCTAGGAGGCTTGGCCTTGCTATTATGTAAGAACCTCATTATTTTCTACGGGCTGTATCAGCCCTCTTGAGGTCACTAATGAGGTCACTTTATTAGACTGTAGATATAGTTAATTAAATTCTTATTGCTTTACGTCTTTGCTGTCTAGAATAGCCAGTGAGGTTTTAGTGACCAGTACAGCCCTTCATGCCACCTGAAATGACATGAGACGCAGGCAAACAGGACTAGGAGATCTGACTGTGAGCTGCCTCCCTGAGATTGAACTAAAGCAAACCAACAGGTTTGGGTGTGACCTACCTTCCTCCCCATCTCCTCTGGGCCCTGACCCTCAGGGAAATAGATTGCCAGCTGACCAATCAGACAGTGAGTTAGCTGAGATTCTCAGAGTTTTGTTTTTCAGGATACAGATGGAAACTGACTTGTGACCTTTAAGTAAATCATTAGCCCAATATAATAAATATTCTAAAAGACTTAATATATTTTCAGCCAAAGAGATAGAAACTTCTTAAAAAGCTATTTTTGTAAATTTCAGTTTATACTAATGAAGAAGGTCTCCGACCATGATTTAATCTTAAATTTGGTGAAGAATTAGCCAAACTAAAGTTTGGGACTATGTGTATATGCCTGTGTGGGGAAACTCTGTTAAGGAGGCATGTATTTAGTTACTGTCTGTTGAGTGGCAAATATGCTAACCCTGAGCAGTTAGAGATCCATAGACCACAAGTCTTATTTCCAGAGAGCTTGCCTTCTGCTGAAGACACAAATGGTTGTAATGACATAAAATAAATGCTTCCTAGAGGGAGGCTTAGAGCCATGGAGCACAGAGGGGCTGAAGGTGCAGACTTGAAGAGTAACGTCAGGAAGACCTTCTCAGAAACGATCCCCAAAGAGTTAACCCAAGCAAAGGTAGAGAACATTTTCCATTTCAGAATTCTGACACATTCTGCCCTTCATATTCAGGGCAAGAAGAGGCAGGTCGAGTGCCTAGGGTGCAACATTTAACCAGGCACTGACTCTCAGGGCCACCTGTGGTTCCTAAGTGTTTGTGTTGCCCTAGATACCCTAGTTTGGGCTTGCTCATATTTCCCAAAGGTATTTAGAGACCCTCTTAAAGACAGAAAAATGGTTTATTCCAGCTGAAAATGTTTGTCTTACCAGATATAGCTATGGCTAATTCT